CCCCAAAACCCCAAAACCCCAAAACCCCAAAACCCCATTACGGGTGACGGGTGTTGAAAGATTATAATTAGTAAATTTAAATTACTAAAACCCTCTCTAATAAAATCAATAAGATTGCTACTATTAATACCCAGAATGGCACTCATTCTTCAAAAATGTCAAAGAATGCAATGTAAAGGTCATAGTCTTCTTTCCTGCCAAAAGTTGAGTTAAAAAGTTACAAAAATGCTCCAATGCAGATCATTGAAGAAACAATTGTGAAGGCGAAATCAAGAATGAAAATTGTTCACAAAAATGAAGAAAGGGCTCATGATGTTATTAATCAGGATGGCAAAACACCTTATCTTTGGGAGGGATTAAAAATTCTTAGCTCTGAATTAAAGAACCTGAATACTACTCTGAACTTCTTCATACGACAAAAGAAGGATATTAAGCTGAAGAATAGTAAAAATGAGCTTGATTCTGAGAAAGTAAAGGAGCACAAAAGAACTACAAAAGAAAAAGATACTGAAAATTACACCAAACTCACCAGAAATCAAATAAAAGAGCACAGAATATTCATAAATAGGTATGAGGTTGTCTCTAACCTCAAGTATATTTTTGACTTGATGGAGAAAGTTGAAGATAGAGGAGCTATGTCAAAACTTAAAAAATAATAATAAAAAGTTGGAAAAGGAAGAGAAGAATAGAGATAAGAAGCTTATCTAGTGCAGCTTTATGCCATTAATAAAAAGGACTGAGCATTTTAGATAAGAGAAAAATAACTCTAGCCAAAGAAAACTTAGTGAAGTTTTTATCAAAACAGTCAAAAAAATTAAAAATTGAAGGTAATTTAGATTTCAATGCAGTTAAACAACTAATTAGTTATTTTTCCATCCTCCCAATAGGATCTCCGTTGTTATCAAACAATCTCCCAGGTGAGCCAACTTTTCTAATTTGAGTCTATAATTCTCAGCCTTTACTTTTTCATGCTCAAGTTTCTCATTCTTCTTCTCTTCTTTCTCGCAGTCTATTCTCAGAAATTCAGTTTTGTTCTTAAGATGAACATTTTCCTTTCTAAGTTTATCCAACTCTCTTAAAGCTTTTGGATTTCTAGGAGTTCTGGCTAAGAAATGGGATTTCCCCTTCTTTAAGGAGATTGCCTTAGATTCTTGGAACAGTTTTATGAATTTTGGTTTAGCTTCTAACATGAGATTTTGCTTTCTTAGAACTTCTTCGTTTCTTTCTTTAACCTTTAAAGTTATCAACTCAGCAAATTCAACTGGGAGAAGGGTGTTAACAACATTTCACACACATTCTCGATTGAGTTCTCTATCATAAGAAAAATCTGGAAGGTATAAGGTAAGATTTATGATGCTGTTGCCGAATTCGACGATATCAGAAACTCTCAATCCTTTATACTGGGGCACTCTTCTTATTTTAACTTCAGAGTTATTCAGATATTTCTTTTTGCCTAAAAGAATTTGCCTCAAATATTTCTGAGTTGCATCTCGGTAGACTGGTAAGTATATGTTGCCTTCAGTAGCTATGAGATGATATAGTTCATATTTAGATCTTCATTTGGCTGCTAACTCGTTTATATTAAAAATGTCTTCTTCTTCCATCTTAATGTGTTTATTAATAATAAAATATGAGATAATTTTAATTCTTTTATATTAGAAATAATTCTGGGGTTTTGGGGTTTTGGGGTTTTGGGGTTTTGGGGTTTTGGGG